TTTCAGTATACTTGAACATCGTAAACTCATGTAAATCATTTCATTGTGACGAGACTATTAGCAATGGATGATGGTCGTAAAGGGCCGAAACATGTAGCATGAAAATATTTAACAAATTGAACTGATTTATCGACAATTTGATTTTATGAGTTATTTACAGAAAGTATAAATTTGTGATCGGCGGACATATTTACATATTAGCAACATACACAACATTCGCCAAACATGTGAATGCAGACAACAATCAATCACTTCCATATATGAGTACAACCAACTCACTAAATCCACTACATGAAATACAGAAGTGGGGAAATATGGAACATAACTGGAAATAACGAATCATATACGAGTATTTTCAGAAAACTTTTGTAATCACATTATACCACCCAGTCACTGTTGAAATGAAGTGAAATATTACGAGAAATTTCGGTTCGTATGATCGTTAAGTTAGTAGAGATTCAGGTCGCGCCATAGATCAGGAGGTTAGTCGCTGGCTTCCCAACGCAGCCGCTCGGGTTTGAGTCCGGGTCAGGTCATGTGGGATTAGTGGTGTACAAAGTGGCGCTGGGGCAGATTTTCTCCGAGTACTTCGGTTTCCCCTGCAATATTCATTTCACCAACTGCCCCATATTCATCATCGTCTATCATCCGGGGGTGGTACAATAGGCCAATAGTAGCCGCAGTGCTGAAACGACTCAGTCTAATAATAATAATAATAATAATAATAATAATAATAAAAGTAAATCTATCCTCGTAACAGGCCACGGGAGCCCATAGGGTCTTCAGACGTTGAAGGTCCCACATTATCTAGATAATCGGCTCACAGTTGGCGAGGTTGTCAGCCTTCGCGCCGGCCGTGGTTTTACCCCCCAGGAAGATTCCTGGTACTCATTTCTGTTAGAGACTGAGTCGACCCCAGGGCCATAGTGCGGCTGGAAGCATTAGGTCAAATGAAAAAATCCACCTCATCTGGACTCGAACCCGCGACCTTCCGACTTCTAGCATAGTGCCTCAACCAACAACGCTACCTCGTAAGAATTATAAAGAATAAAAACAATAGTAGAGATTCATATAAAGTGGTGCAAAATACAAGTCAAAATCATTAATACTGACTTAACCTGCAGTATATGACGAAGAGTAAAATTAAGTGGCTAATAAAAGCCACACTTCAGTGCAGCTAACGATCAATATATTTTAACCACAAAGTTGACATCGAGTTTTATATTAATACAAAGCGTCTTGCTATTCGTGTCAACGGACGTCTTTCTTTATTATCGGTTCTTGGCACGTAACTGAGATAATATTCTCTTTTACATGTTGCTTAACGAATATTATCTTACATCGAAGGTCAAAAGCAGTAACCTTTCGTTCAGTAAAATATCGCAATATTTAACCCTCTTGCTGCCCCAACAGTAATGAGTGAGGTTACGAGAATTACCTTGGGTTTAAAGCACAACAAAATTATTTTCTTATCAGCACACTTAGCATATTAGAGATCGCTTGCGTACGTCTCAAGAAACCCCAAGCGCTCTTTTACTCGTATATTCGTGTTATTATCCGTATCTAATTTATGATATTATCACGCGTTAGAGTGACTCCAGAGGGTGGTTTGGATTGGATATTGGATTTATTAACCACGTACAGGACGTAACTACAAATAACTGTAACACTAAGTACATAAAATATATACAGAAGTGTGCAGTCTACAAAACAATATCATGTATTTAAAACAAAGTAGACACTATCATATCAACATTCGTTTTTATTGACGCTACATATTTCGACCCTTATACTGGGCCATCGTCAGGCGTACAATGATACCAGTCTTAGTTGTAGAATTGCATCTAACAATTTGCATATAATTTTTCAGTAAGGATCCTTATTGTGTATTTGAGTGTTTTTAAATTCATAAATTGAGTCTTTCAGTTAACATTTTAAAATACTCAGATAATAAAATTTAAAAAAAAATAGACCCTAAGAAATAAAATGTAAAAATTAAATTGTAATAAAATGGAAATTAATTATTTTGTGATAAATCTCTTTAAAACTTTGCGACTGCTACTCGTTGACGTGATTTTCTGGCGGTAGAAGCGACTGTAGTGTGGAGCGCCTGCGTACCGGGATCTTCTCACATAAGTTAGATCGTGTGGACTTGACCTTACTAAGATCTTGTGGAGCTTATGCTCGTTATTCTGTATGTCTCCCAACAGGTTGTTTATTTGGAATGATTAGATTTTCTAATGATATGTGTACGGGCTCCTCCCTGTGGGGGGGGGGGAGGGGCGTCATTCAGAGCTCAACATGTCACAATATTTTTGCTATATTGCAGCGGTTCCTCACTTTACATAATCACGCTGTCTACACTAGTAGTTGGCTGGTAACGGCTTCTAACAATAGCTGTTCCTCTACTTCCTTGCTAAAGTCCCCTGTGAACAGCGGCTCCATTCCAATAGCTTATTTTTCAAGTCAAAGTCAAAGTTATTTTATGACTGATGGTTTACCGCCAATCAGTTCGTCTTGGCGTCAAGCCCCTTGAGCTCACTACCAGGGTTTTTTATCAACTGAGCTGTTGCGATCATAGTCATTATGCGACATTCTCTCTGACGAGAAGATGGGTTTGTCTCTTACGAATATGCTTGGCTTTTCGTCAAGTGTACGTGTCGCGCATATAGCATGCTATTGAAAAGCCGGGCCGTTGCAAAGAACACCGTCACTAGCTCAGGCTAGCCCGTTTTACGTGGTTGTCTCTCCGTACCACCGGATTCGAAATCCCACATATGTATGTCACAAGATCATAATTTTCCCGAAGGGGTGTCATCTGCAAATGCGCGCAGAGCTGGAACTCTGGTCTCCACCTGCCGCTCATACTTTTCGTCTCACAAAGCATGAGATATGAACTGGTTTCCTAAAGAGTCTGAAATCACGTTCGCTTTCTCGTTCGGGTTCTGTTATTCCTGAACGTCCACAAAGAGCGGTTGGTGCCGTTGGTTCATCTCTTTTCATAACTGATTTTGCAATAGGCCACAGAGTTTGAGGTGTGACCTCACAGTTCCCTACTTTTGTTTCACACCGTTCGAGTGCCTTCCTACGGGTCATTCATCTGACGGTTTTGGAGACACAATTAACTGCAATTTTAAGAGCTGAATCCTGAGTCACTTAGCACAGTTTCATTAACCTCCGTTTATGTTTTAGCAAACCAGGTAGTTCCTTATTAATACACGGGAATGTAATTTTGCTTGTTGATAGCCTGTAAGCCTAAGATACGTATAGGTGCAGGGAAGTCGCGAGCCGCTTTATCGACTTCTTCCCCCCAGTTAATTTGGATTCTAGCTGAAATAATTTCAGATGACAGGCTTTAATATCGCTCACAATCTCTGAATTTGTCGACCAGGTCCGAAAAATTCCAAATTATAACATGATCTAGCAAGTGGAAAACGATTGATAGGTGATCGGAGTCCAGAAGATCAGAGATAATGATATCTGACAGCTACACATTGTTGTGCATAATAATGTCGAGCTAGTAACCACTTCCCGCAGGAGAGCAATGAGTGGGAAATTGTAGTGCTGAAATTTCATTCATATTCTTGCTCCAGCTGCACTCCTTGTAACCCCTTGGCACGGATCACTATAGAAAACCCCGTTTCCAACAGTGCCTTTATTGTTGCCCATCGATTCGTTGCTGTGGAAACGTGTTTGTTTGCGATTGTTACCTGTTAACGGCCCTGATATATCTGCTTATCTCGCGCTACATTGCGTCCTCCTTAAGGCTGTTCGTCCGGAATTGTCCACAGGCTTACTGCCATTTTTCCTTTCCTGAGGCCTGTCCTTGCAATGTCTCTGCTTGCTCTCACCTTCCTCCCCGTGGTTCGCGTTTCTCGGTGATTACTGTAACTGGTCCCACCGCTCCCTCCTTAAGTCCGCTCGTCCCGAGCGATTCCCTGATCAGGTGCCAGTCGATCCAGGTACACCACCATTATTCGCGATCTAGAGTTCCTCTGAATCCTGTATACCATATTATTATCCGGCTTACTACCTTGTGCGGGCCTTCCCATGAAGTTTGGAGCTTGGACGATTTGCCCGTCGTGCGGCTCGGGCAGTAGAGCCACATTTTATAGCCCTCATGGTAGCCCACGCAACTGGCCAGTCTGTCATAACGAGTTTTCATTCGATCAGTGGCCAGCTTCAGGTTTTGGCGAACATAACTGTGCATGTCGCGTAAATGCTATCACGTGACATTCCCTTATATGCTATATGCTCTGGTTTTTCAACTTTATCCCTTAATCTTTCAAAAAATAAGACGTGTGGACTGTATACTCCAATGTCTGTCAACATAATGTGGCATGTTTACCCTTTGCTAGGCATCAACCGCGAAATAAGCAATTATACAGGAGTCACTCCTAAGTAATAGGTCCGCAAACAAGCATGTTTCCAAGATAACAAGAGAATACAATAATAATGGAAGAGGCGTTTTATACGCGGTCCATGCCGAGATGTTATAAGTAGGACCAACTACGAGTAGTTAGAGAACTGCTGGGGGTCAGTCGTTGCAAGCTGCTGCTGTTCAAAGCTGGTAGCGGAGGCCCCGGGAGTTCGGGAACCAAGTGGAAGAGGAACGTCCACGATTGTAAGCCGCTACCAAGCAACGGCAGTGAAGACGTGACTGTGGATAGTAATGTGTGTGTATGTGTAATAATATAGTCACTCGCTGTATCAATGAGTCCAATAAATCCGGTCATCTATTTGAACCCATCTATAGTTACGTGCCAACATGTAACAATACGGTTCAATTATGTCAGGCTGCCATCACGTGACCTCTATTTGCTTTTGTCGTATGTGTTATATGTTCCGGTTATTTCAACTTTCATCGTTCTAAAACTACAAATTATGGAATAACAATTGTAATGTATCTCAACAAGTAACGCGATTATGTCAGAACTACTATAAGAAAGCGTCGTGGCAGCAAACGTGAGTAAAAAATTTATGCTGAGTTCAGTATTTACCCATGTCGCTACGTTGAAGCAGAATAAAGTTCCTTTCAGGCAGGTGATTTTAGAATTCAGGTCTCCGTAGCCAGAACCAGCTCCATCGCCTTTACCCCCAGCCATTGCACTGACTTGAAGTTATTCCTTACGTTAACTGTTAATCCTCACACAATGGAAGAGACACACACACACGTGGCACTTAGTTCTGTCTCCCCGATGACTGTGACGCTTCCAGCCAGCCGCAATGCAGCTCGTAACTTCCATTGGGCACCGTTATCTCTGCATGACTACCAATTGGAAATAGCATACTGAAGAGATAAAAGAAGTAGTTTACTTTGGTTGGAACATCTTTTTTAAACATGTACCATTACCGGGAAGCCGGGATAGGGTAGTTGGTATAGCAACTGGCTACAGGCTGGGCGGCCGAGGGGCCAAAATTCGAGCCCCGGTATAGTCACGAATTTTCTCCTCCTCCAATTCGTCCAGACCGGTTTGGGCCCACCAAACCTCCTATCCAATGGGTACCGTGGGCTCTTGCCTCAAGAGCAAAGCGGCCGGAGCTTGAAGCTGACTACTCACCTCCAACTAATGCCGAGGTTAAGAAAACTTGAGTCTATGCATCCATTACACATATGCCTTCGTGGTATTTTTTTGCGTTCTAATAATGCAACTAGTCCGAGACTAATGAGCATTTCTCTTCTGACTAAACTACTACTACTACGTATAACTACGCCCACCGGTGTGTCCCAGAATGTGGTGTCTTGAGCCCATTGTTGTCGCACTAGCTCAAGCGGCCTGAGTCTCTTGAGCCTTCTCGCTATTCTCTCGTTGTCAAGAAGCTGTATCGCTTCCACGTTGCTGCGGTGGTGAAGCTGATCTTCGTGCTTTTAATTTCGGCAGTGCCCATCCTAATGCCAAGATCCCTGTGGATGTCACTATTACGAGAGTACCAAGGGGCATTTACTATTCACCTCAGTACTTTGTTCTGAAATCTCTTTATCCTTTGAATGCTACTCTTACCGCACAACCCCATAGCTATACTCCATAATTCCAGACCGGGTTTATGACATGTCTTCCTTTCTCACCTGAAGACGGAAACAGATCCAGTTTCCGGCTTCGTGTCCTCTATTATCTAAAATTCCGGATGATGGAGAAATTCCGAAACCCCAGTAATTCTGTGTACTAGTATTTTGTTTTGTATTTATAGTTGGAACTTCCTACACAAGGGCCACTTCGCTTTCCTGTATTTGATGTTAAGTTCTTCTGTTTTCTTTTTCACATGCTCTTTCCATCGCAGTTTAGCTTCTAGCGTCATTCCTGAATACTTTGCCGTGTTCGAATGAGGTATTTGGTTACCGTTGATTGTTACTTGGATATAGCCTACTTTTCGATTGGTAAAATTCGCATGAACTGATTTCATCTCGAAGAAAGCAGTCTTCTGAGATTTGGCACCGTGTATATGTGGTGTTAACCGACGTTTCGGAGGAACGTATCGCCTCCATCTTCAGGGTAGAAGGAAAAATATAAGAAATCCGCAAGCGAAGAGACCGTGAGAACCGGTAAAGCAGACTGGTGTTGGAAATATACACAGCTATGTGAGAGCAGAGAAGGAAGGGGGGAAGGGCAAGTATACAAGTGAAAACAGTAGTGTGGGAGGGGGGGGGGAAGGAGCTGGGACAAGCATGGTTTTGTGTTGGGGGAGAGAAAGGCAAGGTTAAAGGCTGGGCACTAACCCTTCTACGCTGAAGATGGAGGCGATACGTTCCTCCGAAACGTCGGTTAACATCACATATACACGGTGCCAAATCCCAGAAGACTGCTTTCTTCATAGTTACCGCCGTGAAAGCCTCAAATCTGATTTCATCTCGTTCAATATGATACCCCACTGCTTGGTCCATGAGTTGACCACGTTAGTGGCTTGCTACAGTTTATCTGTTGCTTCTTCGATGTTATCTCTACTGCCATGATAGCAGTGCCGTCAGCAATGGGCATATCATATATGTATAACAGGTACAGGACCGGTCCTATTTTTTTTATTGCTCGTGGGATAGGACTAAGTCTCTTGTACTGCGGCCACTTCTGGCCTATTGTACCAGCCCCAGATGATAGGTGAGGGTGATTGTGGAGCAATTGGTGGAATGAAGATTGGCAGGGGAAACCGAAGTACTCGGAGAAAACCTGCCCCAGCGCTATTTTGTCCACCAGAAATCACACTTGACCGAACCCGGGCCGTCGAGGTGGGAAGCCAGTGACTAATCGCTTGAGCTATGGCGCGGCCAGACCGCTCCTAACACGCTGCCTTATGGGACTCCCGCTTTTATCTCTTTGAGATTTAAATATTCGCTTCCGTGTGCCTTCGTGGTATAGTGTGTAATTAGTTAAGCACGGCTTTTTTTCTGTGGCTTGGGGTCCAATTTTTTGTCAGCTTTTTTACATTTAATCCAAGCAGATGTCTTAGAAATCGCGAAGATACATTGTACACAATTCTGGTCTTCCAAATGACTCTTTTAAGAAGTTTCTTCGTGTACATTCTGAAAGCACGTATGGCTTTCCTTAGCCAAATAATTCTATTTACAGAGAATGAAAACGGTAACAAACGTGCATGAGTTCTTGTTCTTCTGTTGAGGCCCGCTGATGAAGGGACGGGTCTCAACCAACCACTCCAGATCAGCTGGTTAACACAGTGGTAAGCATTACGGTTGCGTATATACAGACAATTTGGAGCGGAGTTTGACGTAATTATTATTATTATGACTAAAGCCCTTTGTTGGGCCTTAGCCGTTTTTCAGTTCCCTGATGCTATACACAGTGGGTAGGCCTCCTTGGACGGGGGATCAGCCCGTCTCAAGGCCTCTACCTATACGCAGAATAAAAGCATACAAGACAGACATCCATGCCTTAAGTGGGTTTCGAACCCACGATCCCAGCGTTCGAGCGAGCGAAGACTGTTTATGTCTTAGACCGCCCGGCCGTACCGGCTGCTGTAAAATACATGAATGTTAATTCTTTTAAACTCATGGGAGGAAGTTAAACCTTAATATTTCTTTAAATACTACATTTAAATGTGTGAAGCAACTGGAATCATACTTTGTTGCGTGCCAAATATCCGGGATGGCTAACTAAATATCTAGAAAGTAGTCTTTGCACTTACGCCCCTTTTGTACGAAACGTTCCAGTTTTTCAGAACACGTTATGCTATATGCTTCGAAGAAGGACGAAAGCTAGAGATACGTGTCCATTATTATTCAAATTAGACCCATTTCGTTCCTATCTTCGAAGACATATGAAGACAGGAGATTCAGAAATAGCCAAGCAACTTTTGTACTTATATTATTTCAGTTTTCTAGGTAAAGAAATTGGTAATAACTCATACGCTTACGTGTTTTAGTCTGCTATAAGGCTGGTCGAGTTTAGCAATAACGAATTCTGAATCAGTTCTCTCTATATGTAATATCTATCAAGCGGGACTACGAGCTGGACGTTCGGAATTCGATTCTCGGCAGAGTCAATAAATTTTTCTCTAATCCACAATATCCAGACCGGCTGTGGGGCCCACCCAGCCTCCTACCGTATGGGAATCGGAGGTTCTTCCCCGGTGCGTGAAGCTGACCACTCACGTCCGTCTAGCCCCGAGGAGAAGAATGGTGGTGCTATGACTTCACTCCAGCATACGTCTTAATGGCGTGATGTTTAATGGAGGTAGGAACTGAATTCGTAATTATCATTAAGATGAAATTCATTTTTAAAAGTGTTCTGTCAGATCTGAATATCACGTAGAAATTGAAGAAGCGTGTCTGAAATCGAAGATCTTCTGTGTTTTGTATGGTGTGAAATTATTGCAGTACATTTTCAATAAAATGAATAAGTTGCCTTAAGCACACATTCTGTATATTCGTTACGAGCGTTATTTAAAAATTCTAAAATGTTAACATTTTTCTCCCTTGAAAATATAGATGTAATTCATAAGAATATCAGAATCATATACTATTTTCCTTCTGTTAATACTTTCTTTTAGACTATATAAAGCTTAAAATATTTTCAGTAAACCGAATCTTCTGCTTGGTTCTAAAGGGTTCTGACGATGGTGTGTCACATTCAGAATTGATGGGTTTTCGGACTTTGTCCATCGTCCGCCATTCTGAAAACCAGAAACCGTAACGTTTCCGAAACTGGTTCCGTTACATTTTCCGAAACTGGTTCCGTTACATTTTCCGAAACGTTAGGTTTATTGGTTTTTAGAATACCGGACAATGTACCACGCCCATAAACCCAGTAATTTCAAACCTACTGCTTGCCCGTTTCTCGCATCATAAATCTTCGAACCTAAAGATGACGCCTGTAAGTTCGTCTGTAACGACAGTGAACTTTTACTACACTATGTCACATCCTTGAAGGAACCAGTCATTAACCATAAAGAATAAGCTATCTGGTAACACATTAACTGTTGTCGCGGACAGAACCTGAAGATAACAGTCTTCTGGGTTCTAACACAATGCATTTCGGAGAAAGACCGATGTTTCGGAGTAATATGTAACCTCCATCCTCAGTGTAAGAGTAAGCCAAGCGAGAAATCTATAGAATCAAGGGAAAAGCTGAGCATGCTTCTGATAACATGTTCCTGGAATTGCTCTTTGACCTTGAAGATGAAAGTGAGACATTCCTCCGAAACGTTGGGATCTTTGCGAACTACAAGGCGTTACAACCCTGAAGACTGTATACTCTTCAATACAATAATTGCTTTCTTCGTCATGACTGCAAAGAATTTAAAGTGACTCACGACAAGAATAGATAAGATTTCAGGAAAGGACGATTTAGTGCGCAAGCTTAACTGTTTACGGAGATGTTGAAACGTGGTCTAGGGAAGTGTAAACAGTTAAGAGATAGCATCGTATGACACAATTCTCACATTCTAACATTTTAAATAACAGAGTGGAATTACAAGCTCTGCTATTGCTCTTAGCAGTCACCTAAAAGGTAAAACTGTCCGTTGTTTCATTAGGTTCAATTTACCTAACCATTAGCTCCGAGGTTGACTCAGCCTCTAACAGAAATGAGTATCAGAAATTTTCCTGGGGGTAAAGGGCGGCCGGGCCGTAAGGCTGACAAACTCGCCGCCATGTTTGTCGACTGTCTAGAAGATGTGGGAACCTCGACGTCTCACAACCCTATGGACCTCCACAGCCCATTACAGAGATAGTTCGTTTTTACTT